CTGATCAAATGATGTATGTCAATATTTTTAGAATGGATAGACAATCTAGGTGTGGTGAAGTAGCGTTTTTTGTAAGAGATATATCTGTAATGTAATTGACGTTCAGGTTGCGCTGGAAATTGAACAGCTTTGGATTGAATTAGTTGTACACACAAGGAAGTCGCATTGTTTTTAGTGTTTTTCACAGACCTCCCAATTATGATTTAAGCAAAGTTTCCACATGCATGGATTACTGTCGCCGGTAAGAAGCCAGTTTAATAGCGCCAGAAGTTGTTTCCACATAAATGTGATAATTGTGTACTGGCACAGTAATAGAAATGGCGTCAAGTGATGTACTTCGTGTTGGTATCAATGTGGTAAAGCAAATATGCTCCTTGGAACTCCACATGCTATTAACAAAAAAAAAGAAGACAGCGGCTGGGTTCGATCGTGGATTGCACGTAGAAATTACTTAGGTGCATCAAGTACTTTAATTAGAGAGATATGTCATGAATATACATACATAATTATAGACATTATTATGTCATATTTATACAAATCGTCAACTGATGCTCCACTTCTGCACGAATTTAAAACCTTGTGGTATTCACTTGTATTTTTGCGTTTGCCGAGTTTTCGTCAAAATTGGGAACTGTTTTCGACATAATCTCAACTTTATTATTAGAATACCCGATTCTAATAATAATAATAATAATTCCTTTATTTCAACAGGTCTCCACCCAATTACAGGAATACAAAAAGAAAAAATATTACAAATGTAGTAATGATAACAATTGTAAGATATATTAATATATCAAAATGGAAAAATAGTATTGGACATATAATGAATGGCAATCAAGGCGAAAAGGTATATTAGCGATTAATAATTGTGTAGTGATCTATGATTTTATTGTTAATGAATGACCAGGTATCGGTAAAAATGTCGCATTCAGCGGAAATCTGGTTATAATAACTACACATCAACGACACTGGGGAGCGTTGAAACAACACTGTTCTGTTGCAGTTGCAATAGAAAACACGCGTCGATCTAACATTAAATCTTGGTACGTTAAAATTGATCATGTATAAAATCTGTGAACAATCAATCAAACCGTGAAGTAAACCATACAAAAATTTCACAGCGATTGTTATTCTACGTGTTGACAGTGACATCAAATCGGTTCAGTAATATACTGTAATCAATACCTCTAGGAGGATATATTTGGTCAATTCGGTAAGACAAAAACTTTAAGAATAATCTTTGAATGTGCTCTAATAAATTAACATGTAGAGCATAAAAAGGTTGCCAAATCAAAGATGCGTATTCAAGGCGCGAACGAATCAGAGCATTAAAAATAGTAAGAAAGCCGACGGTTGAAAATTCTTTACAATTGCGGTAAACAAAATCATAAGTTCGATAACATTTCGCGCACAGATTAGTTGAATGAATGTTAGTTTTGAATCAAAAGTTACCCCCAAGCCTGTAATATTATTAGTGCACCGCAAGACTTCATTACCGATATAGTACTCTAATGTGTATCAGCGAACTTCTGGTGTATTAAACAACGGCGCACTTCGACACAAACCACTCTGAAGAACAACACCATCCGCTGAAGATCGAACTGAGGTAAAAATTTTTAGGTCATCAACAAAAAGTAGTTTACCGCAATCAATGGAGTCCGTACATTGAGGCACTCCCGATGTTGGCCGAATAGGATACGAACTGCAGTTGAAGTATCTGACGCTCTGCTGTCTATCTCGAAGGTAAGACTCCATAAGGGAGATCAAAGGATTACTAAATCCAACGGAACTCAGCTTGCGCAACAACACATAATGATCCAACTGATCAAAGGCCTTCTGAAAATATAGGTAAACAACATCTACTTGGTCTCTATCATCTAACACATCGGACACAAATTGTGTAAAACAAACTAGGTTTGATACAGTTGATCGATTCTTTACAAAACCATGCTGGAAGGGTGTTATGTAGGGCTTAATATGTGCGTAGGTATATTTGTATAAAATTGACTGAAATACCTTGGAGAAGCCACACATTAACGAAATAGGTCGATAGTTTTCAATGTCGCTAAAGTCGCCCGGACAAATAAAGGCTTTCTTCCACTGTGTAGGCATATCGCACTTTTTGAGAATTAAGTTGAAAAGATACAGTACGGGGGTATCAAAAATAGCAGCGCAATCTCTTAGCAAGAAGCTGGGAATACACAACGCCGAATTTACATCCTCGAGAAGGAAACCACGGATTTGAGGGGGTTTGGTCGAATGTCAACTCAGAACCGGACAAATTGTGAGGATCCGAATCAACGTAGACTTTTTTCGTTTTAGATTCCTCTCTCCTGCAGCCTGACGCTCCTCCAACTCCACTTTGAGCTCGTTATAGTACTTTATTTGATTCAATTCATTACGAATCAAGCTTGATGGACATGAAGCTTTATCAAAGACCACCTTCATAGGGCGCTCTCGAGGGTTACGATAGGAATTATGACCACAGCCCAAACGCAATGACTTAAAAGTACTGTTAAAATTAATCACGAAATAAAGCCGTAACGGCATTCATATCGGAAGCACCATCCAAAGCATTGCGATCATCAGAGGAAGATTCGGGAAGCCCAAACACAATCACGTTATTCCTCCTCAGCTGTCGCTCAGTAACTTCTCGGACGACCTCTTCCATATTACATTCTTAGACAGAATTGTGTAAGTTCTTAAGGACATTCATTTGCGTGGTCAGATCGGCGCGTAGCTTGTTCAAGGAGGCGGTGAATTCAGCTTGAAGGGAAGATAGAAGGGTCTTAAGATCTTTAAACTGATCCATATTCCGATTGCACCCGTTACATACCACTTTGATAGATCTACATTTTTTTTCTAGTCATAATTACATCGCTTTCTGACATACATTCCAATGCATGTAGAATGGATTGGGTCTTGGCAAGCGTCGCAATTGATAACACGACTACCTGTTACAATGACGCTATTACAGTTTAAACAACTACTCATTTTAGGAGGGAGAAAGGAATAGACAATTCTTCAGCACCCAGGGGTCTATCGGGGTGACTAACACACAGATAAGATCACGGATATTAGGAAAAGGAAAACAAAAACAATTAACCAATCAAAATCATGAAATTCGGAAAATAAACAGAGCGAAAACAAGTGCGAGAAACTGGCCTCGAGACGATAGCAACAAACCGCCCAGCAACAAACTTTTTCCTTTATATTTCCACCTACTTCTAGGGCCCATATCTTCGTTATATAGAAAGATAGCGAAAAACTAAGCACACGGTTGGAAAGCTTGGTCTTTTCTCTATCCTAAAGTAGTAGTCCTAAAGTAATCCGATAGTCATGGATTTCGTCCGCCGATATGTTGATAATGAAAGCAAGAAAAAATAAGAAATGTCCCGCTGCATTCAAATTACCTCAAAATTATCAAACTTCACGGCCTTGTGCAGCCGTTACCAGATGGAAATTTAACAAATGGTTTACATATTCGGAAAGAGCTGACCTTGGACTGTCTTATTCCGAGTTTTCGTCCGTCAATATCTGTCGGCGTCTGTCAAAAGAACGCTCCTGAAAAGGAGCCTACAGTTGGCAACAAACTTTACTTTTGTATTTCCATCTATGTACTTTTCGGACGGATATTTTTGTTATTTATAACGCTAGCGAAAGCTTGGTCGTTTTTCTATCTTAAACCGAGTTTTCGTCCGCCGATATGTTGATAATGAGAGCACGAAAAAATAAGAAACGTCGCGCTGCCACGAATTTTTGCCGCGGAGGACTATGTATAATATTTTTAATTTTAACGTGGTTTTCAATTAGTGTATTGCCTGATCTTTTTTACATTCTCTAATGGTCTCTAATGTCTCTAAAGGAAGTAGATATAAATATAACCTTACTTCCTATTACTTTCACGGGAACCCCGGAATACCAGTGTAATACGTACCACCGTCAACGCAAGAAATGTCACTAGAATTAAATAGCTAACCTATAAAATTTAGGAGTAGTTCTACGTGTAGTCGGATCGCATTTTTCCAAAAAACCTTTATTATTGTGTTGTGATTTAAAACATTTGGTAAGTGTGAAAATATTATGACGTTAAAATTAGTTAAAATATCGACGGATTTTTAAAACATCAGAACATCGTAAACAACACTGAGAAAATTTCACAAAAATTGTTTTTTAATAACTGTCTTATTTCAATGAAAACTCATTAAACCTCTTGCCCACAAAAAAAACATGCTGTAAGATAAAGCAGTTAAAAAATCGATTCTTGTAAATTTTTCTCAATGTCGTTTACGGTGTTCTGCGTTCTGTTAAAAACCTATCGATGTCTTCCTCCAAAAGTGTTCTATGAATACCACTTGCAATAGGTGATGTTCGCTTTTCAAGAATAATCAAAGTATTCTTTCAATAGAACTGTCATGGCTGATGCTAGTAAGCCTAAGCGACCTTCTGGGTCGCAAAACCGAAAACGGAAAGCGGAAAAAGAGAAAGAAAGTGCCAAATTAAAAAGATCTCTCCTTGTTTTTCTTCAAAGAGAAGATAAAGAAAATACGGATATTCTAACAGAGACAAGTGAATGCAGTACTTCTACTACGGAGCAGGGAACAGAAGCAGTACACGGTGAAAATTTAAAGGATGAAGGAACATCAAATACATCGGCATACGTTTCCATTGATTATGACGATCCTGGTACCTGGCCTGATTCTATAAATGATCATTTGNTCATTGAAAAAAACCCACGCGCAGTCTTTGTTCCATGCAATGCCCATTCCTTGAATTTAGTGGTGAATGATGCTGTGAGCTGTTCCCTAGAGGCTACAAGTTTTTTTAACATTGTACAAAAAATTTATACTTTTTTCGCTGGTTCTACAAAACGTTGGCACATTCTTCAAAAACATGCAGCAAATTTAACTATCAAACCCCTGAGTGATACACGTTGGGAAAGCCGTATCGATGCGTTGAAGCCGCTGCGATTTCAAATTTCGAAAATATATGACGCCCTTATGGATATTTATAATGACCCAAATCCAGCAGGTTACAGTGGAAACATCATGCGCGTGGAAGCAAAAGGAATTGCAGATGGTATAAGTACATTTAAATTTCTAGTGTCACTTATTACGTGGTACAATATTCTTTTCGAAATCAACATTACAAGCAAATTACTGCAAAATAAGAATGCAGACATATTTGTATGTACGAAACAGCTGGAAGTTACAAAGAATTATCTTGTAAGTTGTCGATCAGATGAAAACTTCGAAAAGAATTTATCAGATGCTACACTTCTGGCAAACGAACTCGATATTGATGCAAATTTTCCTAATGCACCTAGTAGGCGAAGGAAAATTAAAAAACAGTTTGATTATGAAGCCGAAGGTGTATCAATACAAGATCCCAAACAAAACTATAAAATATCATTCTATTATATGATTATAGATAATGCAGTAAATGCAATACAGGAAAGATTTAATCAAATGCAAGAGTATTGTGCTTTATTTGGGTTTCTTTACGATATTTTTAACTTAAAGGATAAAAACGAAGCTGATATTCTTATGCAATGCAAAAAGTTTGAAAGTGCCTTAACGCATAATTCCTGTAAAGACATTGATGGAGAAGACTTATGCTGGGAACTTCAAAGTGTGTCTCGAAGACTTCTAAAAGTAATGGGCCCATCTGAAGTTCTCCTTTTCATTTTAAGGCATGATCTCCAGAATAGCGTTCCTAATATTTACGTCGCGTTAAGGATTTTATTAACTCTTCCTGTTTCTGTAGCAAGTGGAGAGCGCAGTTTTTCTAGATTGAAATTAATTAAAACGTACTTGCGCTCAACGATGACTGAAGAACGATTAGTTGGATTAGCGACAATATCAATAGAGCAAGAACTGGCTTACAATCTGGACCTCTGTGAATTAATTTCATTATTTGCACAAGAGAAAGCACGCAAAGTAGCATTTTAATATTGTGGCCTGCCTTCAAGTAAATGTTAATATTGTTGGAAGTAACGATACGATTATGTTTTAGTATTAATAAAATATTAGACAATGTTATTCTTTATAAAGAGTTTTTAAATTTCTTTTCCTATTCATATTTTACCTATTCATTTATGCTATTAGTTCATTAAATTGGACTACATAGAAAATGATTCTGTATTCTGTGCTGTATATTGTACAAATCAAAGGGCGTGATAGGACAGTTTGGCCTAGGGCGAAAAAAAGCCTCGCGCCGGCCCTGGTTGCGATAAACGATAATAGCGACGATACTACCAAAACAACGAAATTGTTGTCATAGTTTTATATGCAGGTGTTTATATTGGAACGAGAGCTGCGATAAACGATAAGAACAACAATGAGAGCAGCGAGAAGAACTGCGCAAAATGAATTGAAAACGATTTGTCAGAACAAATCTGTTGTGGTAATTTTTATCTTTTTGGTCCCACAAGGGGGATCTAACAAAAATTTCACTAATTAAACAGTCGATATCCATGCCGACCACACATGATAATAGCAAAGAAAATAGGGAATACAATTAGCGTCGCTCTTATCGTTAGTCGACTGTCAAGCTTGTGACAATTCGTCGCTCCAATATAAACACTTGCATATAAAACTATGACAACAATTTCGTTATTTTGCTAGTATCGTTTATCGCAGCTCCAACGTAAACGCACCCTTAGTCACGGCAGTAAGGAGAAACGTCTAACACTCTGATTGTTTTTTCATGTTTTCAAAAACGGTGTTATTTGTTTTACTCGTTTTCTTTACCGATAGTACTATTGGCGCCAAAAAGTAGACGTTCCGTCAATTTTATTGGCGCTATGACTACTGACGCCAATGGATTTTTGCTATTTCCACATGCAATTAAACTGGTGCCAGCTGACTGGCGCCACTAATCCATGCACGTGGAAACTTACCTTTACATACAAGATTTTTGTTTAATTAATTCTCTTGAACCTATCCAAACAATTACAATTGATAATTAATGTGCAGTGAAATAAACTAGCACATTAGGCGTTTATTTTGTTTTCTATTCAATATTTCTCCTAAATTGAGGACAAATAAAGAAATCATATCAAAATGTAGTTGGTGTAATTTTTAATAAAAGCATTCAATTTTATTTAATAATTTATTTGCGTTATACAAAAAGTGGAGTTTCCCTCTATTTATCAATATATTATTATTTATCATTACGATGGAAATAAATTTTCAAACCAAACAAAAACAAGAAAAGAAAAATAAAAACAAAAAGATGTAAACTTTTGATGATTTGACGACGATTCCTTTCTCTCACTCTTTTTATTCAATAAGCTTCTTGGCCTTGAAATATCTCCTAAGGTACAATACTTGCCATGTTGTAAGGCCCAATAAACAGAACATTGAAAAGACGGAAAAATACAACACTCTTCTATTTGTTGACTCTGAATATTTCAATGTTTTAAAGTTTCAAATAAAAAGAATTAAAAAAATTGATTTTACCATTTGTATCTCTCATTTCTTCTTCTCTTTTTCTCATTATTGAAAAATCATGGACTATATCGTTTGATAAATCCTCTAATCTTCTTAATTCAACTTCAATCGGTTTCAACTTAGCTGCTTCTTGAATCTTAAAGGATTAAATTTATGATTAAATTTAAAAAAAATTATGAAAATTAAATGATTACCCCTTCATATTGTTTAGCTTCAACACCATGTTTTGTAATTAAAGAAATTTCTTGGGACATTCCTCTATGTTCTAAATTATAAAAAGAATGTATTTAAAAAAAATTATTAAAAGATTGTTTAGCGCCATCTAGCTTAACGAAAATATAAGTTGTTTAAATAATAAATTACTTGGTTAAATGATTATAAAATATCTGTTATTATCAACTGTGTTAATCTGTAGTTATCAAAATGCTTCTTATTATTATTATATTATTATTACAACAATATTCAAAATTTATACTTACGTGGTGATACTCTTGATATAAAACAAATTTCGAAAGTATCGTAAGTTTCAGTTACAAAAGAGAACTTTCCCTTAGTAACAACATCTTCTTTTTGAGCTAAAATGTGCCCCTTAGAGTCTCTAACCTAAAAAAATATTTTGTCAATTTCAGTCTATAAATAGATTGCTACATCTAAGGAACATTTATTTTACGTACAACGTAATCTACTTTCTGCCCAGGAGCGTCTTGAATTGTAAATTCTCCCGTAACAGGCACGTTTTGATGAAGTTCTTCTTTCAAACACTTATTAGTGTTCGGCTCTAGATTCCACATTATTCCCTGCACCGTTAACACGTGCGCGAGTAACACCGAACACAACCACCACGTATACATTTTTTTAAGTAAATTAGATTAACTATATTAAAAAGCTAGAGGAACGCACGTTGAAATTAAATTTACAACATATCAATTCGTTTGACACCGATGAGCTGGCGCAAGTTTGCAAACAGATTGACGTGTGACAGTTTATGTTGGTGTTACCAACCAAAATAAAAATTCCTAAACGAATTAATGAATTAAAAGCAAACAGATATATTTTTAAACGATATTTTAAGTAATATGTATTAAATATGAGTTAATTTAATTAAAATTAATTTAATTTTGTTTTAAACATAATTATTTTTGATGTTTCGATTGAGTGCTGCCATCTTTTGGGGTTGCTTAACATTCATAAATAAATTTGAATTTTGATAAATTAATTTTATTTTATAAATTACATTCTACAATGAAAACAATTAAATTATTACTATACAAAAATTGATTCTTAATTAATTAATTAACCATCTTTAATTATTACGAAAGTTTTTTCTTATTCCTGCCTGTAAAAAAAAATTAAACAAATTAAATCGTTATAATTTATGTAAAAGTCGAAAACTTACCTAAAAAACTAAGCATCACAGGTAAAAACACTAATCCGTGTAAAGCCCCTATAATAACGATCCCCAAATACATACGGAAATAGAATATTTTGAAAATTTGAGATTTTGAGAATGCTAGGACGATGATTCCGCAGAATTTTGTTAATGTTATACCAGAAAGGACCTGCAATAAATATTTTTGATTAATCGATTAATTAAATAATTAAGAAACACTTACAGAACTTCCCATATTTGCCAAAGCATCACTTGCTCTATCGATTGCCGTTAGTTCTTTCGATTTTTCAAAAGAATTTATTATGTGACCACAAAATTCAACTGCTATACCAACAGCCTAAAAAAATTATTAATTTAGTAAGTTAAATTAATTAAAACAATGTGTTACTCACCATGACTAAATTGACCAAAGATACAGCGTTTAAACTAATATTCCAGACGTACATTAAACCACCCATGTTAACGACGATCATAAAAACTGTAATCGATACCATTAAAGCAGCAAAGAAGCTAAATCCGGACACTATAAAAGTTACTACTATAACAGCCAAGAAAGAGTATCCTAAAGATGTTAAAGTGTCTTCCCAAATCGTAAGGTATTGTTCATAGAACACATAAAATATACTAAAAATTAAAAAATAATGTATTAAAGTTATCTAATTAAAATTTAAAATGTATACGACAAATATTTCATTCGAAAGCTTAATCCTTGGCCAATACAAAAGTAGAATTGTCCGATACGAAATCTGTCTTCGAATTCCACGAAAACGTCAAAATATTGCAAAGCCCATAATAACTCGTCAACTATGTACTCAATTATCAAGATCTATAATTAATTATCAAAATGACCGACCGAAGATTCGGTTTCGGCCAGTTTCGGCCAAAATACGAGGTTCGATAAATGTTTCTGTTTCGGCCAAAAATCCACCAAACTTTCGGCAAGAACCGAAACTTCGTTAGCCGAGTCTCCGCTTGTATTCGACTATTGCCGTATTTGCTTTGGCTTGTACGTACGAAAGTTTCATCTTGTTTCAAGCAAGATGAAACAAGTTGCGTTTACCGTGTAAAGCCATATTATGTCATAATTTTGCAAAAAACTTTTTTGTTTTGGCTTTATAATTGTCGACATGCTACCTTACTTTATAATGGAAAGTACTGCTTCCGGACGTCACTAATACGCCAAACACATGACATAGTGAAGACAAAAGTAATGGACTTAATCGAGCAATGCGACTGGTTGCACTACTGATCTATGGATAAATCCATCAAAGTTGTGCTCACTACTAAGTTTGACAACTCATTTCATAATGGGATCACAAAGATTGAAAGTTATTAAACTAAAACTAGAACTAACACTAGCACTATCACAAGAACTAACACTAGACCTAGAACTAGAATCTTAACTAGAAAAAAACGCACGGCTTAACCCGAAAGATTCTAGTTCTAGGTCTAGTGTTAGTTCTTGTGATAGTTTAATTAATATCGGCCGTGAAAGCCTTCGTACTTATATTGAAAGTTATATTGAAAGCTGCTCTACTAGAAGAGGATCACATGGGCGTTTCCGCTTCAGAAAAGTTGCAAAGAAATTCCGCAAACTGACGTTGCACAACAGGTTATTGTGCAAACAAGGTTACTCCTACACTATATAGAATTTTATACAAACTTTAGTTGCTTGTGTTCTGAACGCATGGAAACATGCCGTCTGACGAAGTAGCCTATTTAGCTATAATAATTGCTGTTGCGTCGGATGATGGTGTTAGAAAAAGGAAGCGGAGAGTATGGATGAGAGTGGTTAAAGAAAAGATTACTTTTTAACCTCCCAAATCATCTCAAAGAACTTAAGTTGAGTTCGTCATTAGACTATAAAAATTATTTACGAATGAATCCCACTACTTTTGGTAAATTATTGGTCATGGTAACAACACTTATACAGTGAATTTCACTTAAGATGCAATATACTAAAATATATTTCCATAGAAACCAGGGCGTACCTACTTACTTCGTTCCACATAAAATGCAACATGTCAATATAATTTTACATTATAGTAAAACATCGATATAACAGATTAGTACGGGGACGAAGGAAGGAGTGTCCGTTATAGCTCAATAAAAATATACAATAATCTAGTGCTGAATAACAAATAATACTAGACTAACACTAGCACTAAAACTAACACATCTTCAGACGCATGGCTAAACCCGAATGCTTCTAGTTCTCGCTCTAGTGTTACTTCTAGTTTTACACTAGCACTATCACTAGAACTAACACAAGACCTTTAGATTGGGGTATATTTTTATTGAACGACAAGTAGAACTAATACTAGACCTCGAGCCAGAACCATTCGGGTTTAGTTATGCGTCTCTTAAAACGGCTAAACCTGAATGTTTCTAGCTCTGGTCTTGTGTTAGTTCTAGTGACAGTGCTAGGTAGTGCTAGTTAGCATTAAATATTATTAATAATTATTGAATTAAAACTAGAACTAACACTAAACCCGAATGTTTCTAGTTCTAGGTCTAGTGTTAGTTCTAGTTTTGCACTAACATTATCACTAGAGCTAACACAAGACCTAGAATTAGAATCATTCGGGTTTAGCCGTCTTAAGAGACGTGCGGCTAAATCCGAATGTTTCTAGATCTAGGTCTAGTGTTAGTTCCAGTTTTAACTGTTATTCAGCGTTGGTTTGTGGTATATTTTTATTGAACGAAAAGTAGAACTAACACTACACCTAGAACTAGAACCATTCGGGTTTGGTTCTAGTGACAGTGCTAGGTAGCTCTAGTTAGCATTACATATCACTGTGTTGTATATTTTTATTGAATTCAAACTAGAACTAACACTAGACGTAGAACTAGAATCATTCGGGTTTAACCGTCTTAAGAAACGTGCGGCTAAATCCGAATGTTTCTAGATCTAGGTCTAATGTTAGTTCCTGGTGTTAGTTCCTAGTGTTAGACCTACAAGTAGGAACATTCGGGTTTAGCCGTGCGTCTCTTAAGACTGCCGAAAACTAAGGTTGTCATAAGGACCGAATGTTTATGGCTAAATCCGAATGTATCTAGATCTAGGTCTAGTGTTAGTTCCAGTTTTAACTGTTATTCAGCGTTGGATTGTGGTATATTTTTATTGAACGAAAAGTAGAACTAACACTACACCTAGAACTAGAAACATTTGGGTTTAGCCGTGCGTCTCTTAAGACTGCCGAAAACTCAGGGTTGTCATAAGGACGTTCCAAACAAAACTTTTCCTTTGCAAAACTACCCAATGCTTGTACTATTAAGTTATGTTCCATTTTATGTGGGACAGTTTGCAAGTGCACAGTAGCTTCGTAACTATGCTTACTGTATTCATATATTGCGAGTTATATGAAATTCCCGGTACAAAAACAAGACACAGTATTGAGAGAAGCAATATCACCACCTTCTACTAACTCATGCGAAAAGAAACAATCGTTATTTCATAATGTGTCGCACAAACATAATACAATTGGTTGCGCAACTAATTTCAAACCAACATCATACACTACACAATTTTCGCAAAACAGCGATTGTTGCGCAATTTGTTTGCTTGTGTATGGAGCATATTAGGGATAATGCAGCAAATATGGGTTGCGCAACGCGTATAGCGCTATTTGATTCTGTAGATTGTGTATCTCACACTTTGTATGTGGTCATTAATTATGCTTTATTCAGAAAAGAAGACAGCAATAAAGAGGTGCAGAATAGCCGGTCACTTTCGAAAGAATGAACAAGCAAACAGAAAACTGACAGATTGTCAAAATCAGTGCGGAATTCCCACTCGCTCTTTACTAAACGATATAGAAGTGCGGTGGAATAGGCTGTAAGTATCTAATGTTGCAACGATTGGTTGAATAAAAGCGTGCATTATTAAGATTAGTAATGTTTTTTTACTTTGTGGTGAATACAATATTATTAAAATCCTTTGATTTTGACTTTTACTTATATACCCCAAAAAATGTTTCAGTTACAGTTTCAGTTTCGGCCGAAACTGAGACAAAAGCCGAATTTTGGTTACGGCGGTAAATGTCGGTTGCCGTTTTAGTTTCGGAGGTAAATATCGGTTTCGGTCGGACACTATTGTATAGCTCTCAGGATGACACTCTGTTCGCCTAGTTGTTTAAACAACAAGCCGAACAGGGGGCTCGTTGTTTATACACGTATGAACACACAAAAGTGTATTACATTTTGTTGGAAGAGTACTGTAAAGTTGTATCAAACTTTATTGTTAACAATATTGCTGTTTTACACTTTTGCTCCCAGATGGATAAATATCGAGAAAAATTCGAAATTATCAAAATTAGATGATATCGTAGTTTTACATCTTGTTGTTAGAGCACGTATACAGTTAATTAGCGAATTTTGAGATTGGGCATTCCGATTTTCGCATTCAATGTCATTTTCGATCGAATCCTGATGACTAACAATAAAATATATCAATTAATAAAGAAGATAATTATGTGTTCAATTAGATAGCTTTTGGTGATTTTATCAAAATCAATAAATATTTCGAATTGACATTCGCATTCTTCCAGATCCAACCTTTCAAAAGAGATATAAAACATTAAATCGTCAAATCGTTCTTTAGTTACAATCGATTTAATCTAAATTATTTTCTTCTCATTAGGAGCTAAACTTTCGGGCGTTCATATATTATGTTCATTCTCACGGTGGTACAAGGTCAACGAAAAAGAATTGAGATTGAGCGTTTTGTGATTTCGAAAGAAAAAACTATGTCGAATGGAATGACGTATAGATCTTGATAATCGAGTTGATCGTTTACGATTTATGACCACTCAAAAAAGGCCATTCTTATATTAACGGAATTCGAAGGAGATTTCAAATTAGGCATTTCCACTTTCGTATTAGTAAAGGATTAAGTTTTCGAATAAGATATTGTACATCAAAATCGTTAGAAAGGGTCTCTTGTTATAATCAAAATACTATATATTTTGTAAAATCTTATCTAGTCAGAGGTTAGAAAAATTGGGGCTAACTTCACATAAATAAATTTAAAATTTACCTGTAAGGGAAAATTTCAACGCCAGGTTCATTTAATGTTACAGTTAAATTATCTGCAATTATTCTAGCGTATCTTAACGCTTCGTAATAATCTTTCGAAGTGTTTAAAACTGTGTGATAAGACATTACGTGAGATTGGAGTATGTAAGAATTGTCGTTTTCATCTGTGATGTAATTTATTCCCTAAAAAAACGAAAATCAATGAGAATCGAAATTCAACGATTACGAAAAATATATTTACATCGTAATAAGAAGCGTGTCCAGCTTTGCTACACATATCATCAGGATTATCGTTAAGAAAATAGTTTAAATACTTTGGAAAGTATTTTTGGAAATCATCGTCATCAGATCTTCCGCATTTACCGCAAATTTTATGATTGGTGACCGTGTGGGGACAAAAAGTGTCGTTACTCAAGAAATATTTGCAACATTTATCGTTTAAACTCCAATCTCTGTAGTCATCGATCCAAGAAGATGCAGGGCGAGCAACATATGTACTAAAAAAATAAAGATTAAGGTTAAGTTATTAATTAATTATACTTAGTTGATGATGTTTCAGTATTTTATGGCAGAACTTATACACAAAGCCGCTGTAAGGCTCTTACACTCATTCTATGTAAAACTAAGCATAAATACCTAAAGCCTTCAATATGTAAGTATGCACCACAAAAACCAAAATCCTCGTTGTATCTAAAGAGCTAGTGACTATCTAAGCATACAAATCACCTTATATCAAAATAGAATAAAGAAAGTGAAAGAGCAAGCCAGCGGTATATAAGACGTCCTTTAGGATATCATTTGGATCAACACCTAAACGAATGAAAAGGTAAAAGTAAGAATATACAAAACCTGTCTTAGACCCATACATATACGTACGTTATAGAAACAAAAGAATGAAAAGTATCTTTCAAATAGCAGAAATGAGGATTCTCAAAAACATTTCAGGATACTTACTAAGACACAGAAAAACAAACATAGATATATGATAGGAATGTGAGCTGGAAGACATACTCAAATTCCAATCGATTTGAATTATTTTGACTATTTTGATTATTTTATATGGTCATTTTCTGGAATCTTTGAAACACTTTCAAAAGACACCAAAATCATTTTTTACAGAATTACCCCGTTAAGTATTTGCAATCGATATTATAATTCCTTTAACTGTTTGGAAAAGATCTCATACATTGTGAGGAATATATGCACATTATTTTTATCATGAATACCGTAATCTGCTAAGATTTGAAAAATTGTTCTGTAGCGAAGAGGACTCAGCCAAAATATGTTGACACTTTGTATGGACATTTCTCTGATATTACTCTATAGGTATTTTGATATTTTCAACTGCTAAGAGCATTGTTAATGGTTGTTATCAGATTGCCACAGCTATGAAGTAAATGTCAGTAATGTTTCGTCCAGCGTATGATAGGTAGAATTTACTGAAGTCGTGAACTGATGACAAAACATGCCTTGGTGGAATAATTCCATTAACTGCGACAGAAAGAAGATTCGGCATCAAGAGAAATCCACATTCTAAATTAAGTCTACCAAATCTTTCAAATTACGTCCACATAGTGTCCTAAACAGAGCCATGAATGAGCAACAAGAATCTTACATAAGGAATCAACCTGAACTCGCCTTGTCTCGAGAGTGTTCCATCTGGTTTGGAATTATCACTTAACCTTTATGACTTTTGATGGGTCATTGCCCCTTTTACGGTCTCTTACAATAACTCAAATGTCAGTTATTTTCAATTTCTATAAACAGACCACCCGAGGCCCTTTTCTCCATTACAGCCTTACCGTCATATTTTACCAACAGGAAGGTTTTGTCAAAAACGATGTTTCAGAATATTGCCTTCGAAAAGGAGCAGCGGTGCCAACCACAACTTTCTTCGCTTCAATATAATCTTGATGATCTAGTAACGAGGTTCAAGTGTACTTGATTTATTAGTTTTCTGGTAGGTACTCAAAGTGTTTAACTTTGAATGAGAATCTACACCGACATTGTAGTTCACGCTTTATGTAGTATCACGGCAAATCTAACCATAGTCACAAATACACCAACAACATATTTGCAAGGTAATCTAGTAACGAGGAGGAGTAAGTATGTGGCGGAATTTCGATGTGCTTGACTTACTAGTTATTCATGCTCAAAGTGCTTGCAGCTCTTCTTGTTCCTTCATGCGATACGTGGTACTACGCAAATCTGACCACAGCTACAAACTCACTTACAACGTATTTCGAAGGAGACCTAGTAACTACGGAGACTAAAAATGTGATGAATCCTAATTGTGCTTGACTCACCATTTTTGTCATGTTCAAAGTGATAGCCTCTGAACAAGAACCTACAATGACATTACAATGTCTCTTGCTCAATCATACGGCCTCATATAGCGGTAAATCTCTCCGAAAGAATGTTGAAATTCTTAACTCTACATAAAGATTAAAGGTTATTTCCTCATTATGACTTACACAGGGTATAAACAGAACTGGTAATAACAGGTTATGATTGTACCATACATTTCTTTCAGGAATTTGAGAGGTTCTGATTTAATGTTCAGTCGTCTCTTGTAAATATTAATGTTTGAGAAAATGTATGAATATAGTTCGTAGGTTTTCATGACTGGTATAAGATCTATTGTAACTTAAACCCTCCAAAGGTTTAGGGTAAATGTAGATTCTTGATGAACCTTAATATTGCTCCAAGGTCTTGGTCCTTAATGTCGGTAGGTGTCTCATTCGCACAGTATATGTTCAGCAGTCTCTAACTCGTCGTTGTAAAGTTGACAAGTTTGATCCTCAGCTTGTCCAATATGGAAGAGGTGGTATTTTAGGGGCGCATGGCCAGTCAAGAAGCCTTAGACCCCCTTTGCTGATGTATAAAACCTCTTTGTTATCATACTCTTCGCCTGTCTGTGACCTGGAAGTTTTTTCCAGCGTAAGCTACTGAGAATTGCACTTAGAATAATCTCTTATAAAAGCTACTCTTGACTAATGCTTTATAATCGTATTGCTAGAAATAATTGCTTCGTAACGAAACGACACGCTTAAGGTCTGAAGAAGAATGATTGTAAGGTAGGGTATTTTCTTTCCTGGTTTAGTTCCTGATTGATAACCATATTATTAACAAAGTTATTTTCCAAAATATCTGTCCTCAGGCAGCGCTCTTAGAATGAAAACTGATGTCTATAATTAATTTGCCAACCACAGAAGTGCTAGTGGTAAAAAGTTCAGAAATGCTTTGGGACATCTACATCTTTAATATGCCGTCATCAGAAGAATACATTCGCAAGATTTCCGAAAAGTTTTAGTAACGAATCAAGGCATTTCAGAATTTTTAAAAGCTTACGTTATTATGGTTATGACTGGAAAGAGACTAGTAATAGAAGAGACTCTAAGAAAGAAATCAAATAGAAAATTGGTGGTAGAAGAGATAGATTAAACAGTGACTAAAATGAGAAAAGAAGACTGAGCAGAGAGAAAGGAAAAAGTGGCAATAGAAGATAGTGACTGTAAATAAGAAAGAAACTGAGAAGATAAGAGGAACACTGAAAGAAGACTGTAAAGACTTAATCGATTTCATAGCCTAGATTATATAGATATTCGTTTTTTGGATGGAAAAAGAAAACACTTTTTACATTTAAATTCTAAAAATTACATTTAAATTATAATAGAAGAATGCAGCGTATAGTATTATATTGTTCTCTATGACACCACTATGATCGTCCAGATGTTTTCAAACAAGACTTTTTTTGACACTGATTATAAAAGATGTAAATCAGTTTTTAATATAAATCGTTTAATGAGAGAACATTCAATTTTTTTTGAATATGTGTTTGAAATTAAGACACATTTCAAATGATTGCGAACAAGTTCTAGTGTTAAGCATCCTTAACGGTAAGTGTTAAAATACTGCCATAAAAATCTGATACACTGTAAAATAAATGGAAGTTAGTATAAAATGTTTACATTTCGGATTGTTTCGCAGCGGCATATAATTGAGTACTTATCGAATTCGGTTGACACCCAACTCCACCACAAAATTTATTTTGTATAGTTATGCTTGAGTAATCTAAATCACCTTTTGTCACCCAATATATAGGAGACCCAATTCCCATAAGTTGACTCATGTACTGAAACAAAAAATAAAATCTTATTGATCTTAAAATGCGAAATATTAAAAATTCTCTCTTAACGTGAATTAACTTAAATTTGTTTATAAAAACTAATATTAATGTAAGAAAGTGTTTACTTACTTGAAGATATTTTAAAACATGACTATCTTCCGGCATAGAAAGTTGTTGGTCTAAACCAATATCAACGGAAGGTATTATCGCTAAGCTAACACAAAGAAGTGTTGAGAAAAGAAATAAAATGATACACCTAACATCTAAGCGAAGAATAAATGGTGTATACAATTCGGACCAAAACCTATACAAGATACTGCTTTTATTGCTTGTGTTTAATTTATCGGTTTTTATGCAACAGAAAAGATCCCATCTATGACCCTAAAAGTACAATAATGAATAAAAAAAATTATTAAAGTTTTAAAAACTCACTCTATATCTTCGTTCATCTACAGCTAATAAAGCTACAAAAGCTGTTAATTGCAACACTAAATTAAAAGCGATTGCTATGGTTGCGTATAATGCGAATGAATTTACAGCTGGCATATCAGATAAACTACCTAAAAGAATACATAAAATCGAGGTTAAATTTTATCATGTAACTTATATTAGTTTAAACTTACCAATAGCAAAGCAACAAATTTCTGATAAACTAGTTAATAACATACTTGGTCCTACTTTACTTAAAGTTAATCCAATTTGTTGAGTGACTTTAGAAGACTTAGTACTAAAATAAATAAAATTAAAAACTACTTTTACTGTTTTAGAATTAGAATTATTACCTTCCTAATCGTTCGTAATGTTGTACAATAATAAAAATATTATCGACACCAACAGCCAGAACTAAAAATGGAATTACTTCAATGGTTAACATGGTAGTTTTAACACCAGCGTATCCACAAAGACCCAGTGAACAAATAACGGAGGAAAGAACGATTATTATTCCACTTACTCCAAGAAAAATTTTACTTTCTACCTAAAAAAAATAATAAAAGTGGTATTAATTATATCTTATAATTACAACAAACTCTATTTAACTTACAAACAGAGTTTTGAATGATCTGAATCTCCCCAAAGCGATGGTGATGTAAACAAACATAACAGCGTAACTGATAACAATTGTTGATACTTCGGATTGTGATAGTCGTTCAATTTCATCTTCAATTGATCGTTCAGAATTGAAGGCGATATCGAAAAATTCTGGTCTTTCGTTTTCATCATAATTTTTCAAAAAGTTTATGAACCTAGAATAAGAATGATTAAAAATGTTTCTATCAATAAAAAATTAATAATATCACTAAAGATAACGAAGAAAGTGGTGAGAGATGTTAGGTATGATATTAAGGAATGCTGTAGACTACTGTAGAGGACGTTTCGAAGGACAAGAATAATATTTGAATATATGAAGGACGATGATGTTGAGAAATCTTAAACAAGATCTTAAAGGGGGCAGAGCTAAGTTGATAAATGTCATGGAAAATTTTGATACCAAATACAATGTTGAGGAAGGCCAGGGACGATATTCGAAGATGTTGAAAGATATCATGGATAACGTTAGGAGATGATGGAGAAAATGTTTACAGAGATATAAAGGACGATGTTGAGCAACAATGAAAAAGATGTTGAGAGTGGTCAGAATATGAGAGATTGGAGACAAACTCCACCTGTATGATCGTTAAATGGAGCTAAACAGCCTACCCATCGAAAATATAGTCATTGACTATATTTTGAAATACATTCATTTACCCATAAATTTTCCTCGAAACAAGACTGATTCAAACATGATGATCCATGCATGAAAAAGGTTGACGAATTGGAGAAACAGGAAAATTCGACGATTTACTACTTGGAATATAAATATATTCTACAACAAAGAACAAATGATTATGATAGAGCAGACCAGAACATCGATATTTGCAAGAATTGCATTGCAAGAAGCTAAAAAAGGAAAAGAGACAAAGAATGTATGACGATTATGTAATAATATCACTAAATATTGGTGGAGTGAACAACAACAAACGCACGACATAAGAAGTGGTATTAGTAATATACAAAAAATAAAAAGACAGTGTAAAAGAATGTAAGAGTGTAAAAGAAGAATCATTAAAATGCGAACAAAAGGTCAATACTAAATATAATCTTGATATACACAAGAATCATATCAAACCAAATAAATGAATGTGTTCTCATTAGCAAGGATTCAGATCAGGGAGATTCTGCGCAAACATCATCTTTGTGTATGTAAGCAAACTAAGACGATACAAAATGGGTAACGGGAGGTTAAAATTCTACGCTCTACAGACGATGCGAAATAACAAAATCTATGATTACTACTTCCAAGACACTGATCAGATGCAAGTTTGTGATCAATGATAAAATCATACACTAGGAAATGAAATATGAACATCGGGCATCGAAATATCTAGATACGGGTATGATGAGACGGAATTAAGACATCAAGTTGCAAAAGTGTCAAGAACACCGGCGTACCTAAATGGCGAAATAAACATATTCGAACTGAATCCAAAGCCCCATCTACAAGGTTGTAATTACACCTACACTATCTTATGCAACAGAAATCCGATTAGAGACTTTCCAACCAAAAACAATACAAGAGACTACAGAAATGAAAATAGTGCGTAGAATAGCTGGGAAAACACTGATGGGCAGATAAGAGAGTTGAACGTCAGATAAACATACAGGATAGGTAACATCAATTACTGGGTATTAATAGAATGAAAAATGGAATGAGCACATTGATCGCATGACAGTGAAACGAATTTTTAGAATAACTAGAGACACAAATCACCATCAGGACGAAAAAGTATTGAAATAAACAGCCAATTATGTCTAAATACAGAAGAAAGAAGACATTAGAGACAATATAGAGCAGTGGTGTCCACTAATTTTTGATCAAGATCGACTTTTTATATAAATGTCTTGTCAAGATCGACCGAAGGGATTAAAGTAACCTTCCTTTTTTTTTGCTCTGTGGCCCAACTATAGATATTTCAGTTTCATGATTTTCTTGGCGATCAACGTTATGGCCACCACTGATTTAGAGCTTATAAATAAAAAATGGTAATAATTGGGTTCAATCTTTTTATGGATCTAATATTTATGGTCCATTACTAAGGTTTTATGTATAAAAAATATTACCCCATCGCTTTTATTTTATGAGTTATGATTGAGTTAATTTTCGAATATCAACAATTTTGATGTTTAATCGGTTTAGAGCTTATAAATAAAAAATGGTAATAATTGGGTGCAATCATGTTATGGATCTAGTCTTTATCGCCCATTACTAAGGTTTTATGTATAAAAAATATTTCCCATCGCTTTTAGTTTATGAGTTATGATTGAGTTAATTTTCGAAAATCAACAATGTTGATGTTTAGTCGATTTAAAGCTAGTAAATAAAGAACGGTTATAATTGGGTTCAATCTTTTTATAGATCTAGTCTTTATGGCCCATTACTAAGGTTTTATGTATAAAAAGTATTTCCCCATCGCTTTTAGTTTTTGAGTTATGATTGAGTTAATTTTCGAAAATCAACAATGTTGATGTTTAGTCGATTTAAAGCTACTAAATAGAGAACGATTACAATTGGGTTCAATTTTTTTATAGATCTAGTCTTTATGGTCCATTACTAAGGTTTTATGTATAAAAAGCATTTCTCCATCGCTTTAAGTTTTTAAGTTATGATTGAGTTAATTTTCGAAATCAACAATTTTGATATTTAATTGGTTTAGAGCTTATAAATAAAGAATGGTAATAATTGGGTTCAATCTTGTTATGGATCTAGTCTTTATCGCCCATTACTAAGGTTTTATGTATAACAAATATTTCCCCATCGCTTTTAGTTTATGAGTTATGATTCAGTTAATTTTCGAAAATCAACAATGTTGATGTTTAGTCGATTTAAAGCTAGTAAATAGAGAACGGTTATAATTGGATTCAATCTTTTTATAGATCTAGTCTTTATGGTCCATTACTAAGGTTTTATGTATAAAAAGTATTTCTCCATCGCTTTTAGTTTTTGAGTTATGATTGAGTTAATTTTCGAAAATCAACAATTTTGACGTTTAATCGATTTAGAGCAGTAGTGTCCACTAATTTTTGATCAAAATCGACTTTTTATATAAATGTCTTGCCAAGATCGACCGAAGGGTTTAAAGTAACCTTCCTTTTTTTTGCTCTGAGGCCCAGATATAGATATTTCAGATTCATGATTCATGTTCTTGACTATCGACTCAAAGTCGCTCGCGATCGACGTTATGGACACAACTGATATAGAGGGATGACATAGACTATGTTGAGATCAGCTAGGGGCTATGTTCGAAGGTGTAAATGATGTTAGGAATAATATTGATATAGTGATGTCACTAACAATGTTTAATGATATTGAGCAAGTAGAGTTGGAGAAATATGAATAGTTGCCAAAATAGCATTAGGGATTATCAGGGATGATTATGTTGTGCGAAGTCAAAGATACTATGTTGAGAAATATCAAGAATGATGTTGCATATATTAATACGATAATAAGGATTATGTTAGAGATCTTAAGGATAATAATTAGAGAAGAAGATGTTATGTAATCACATAGAGTTACTAATTAAAAAACTTTTTACTTACTCAATTTCCCATGCCATAATTTTTTCCAATTTACTTTCATCCAAAGTATTTTCAACTAACATAGTTATAGCAACTCCTTGAGCATCCCTATAGTCATCTCTTGAAGCACCAGCATATGCTAAACCAGGTTCAATGGGGCCTCCATATGGTGCTAAACAATCCATGTGATAAGCGCTCCTAAAATAGTTTTAAAATTTTTAATACTTTCTTATATACTAATTTAAACCTTACTTTGCGCATTTTAACATTGTATCAATATAATCTTCAGACGCTTGAAAAATATTTATATCATTTTCAAATAAACCCAAGATAGATTGAACGGTGCAAGCATCAATATTTCGTGGCGGGGAGAATGGTCCCAATAAAGGAGCATAACAAATACTAACAAAATCAACACCTTCACTTGAACTAACCTTCTATAAAAAATAAAAATTAATTAAAAATTTTTGTTAATAATTTATTGGTTATGTACTTCTTGTAACTGTTGTTGTAATTCAAAAGCTGCAGTTAAAAATGTTTTATTAAAAGCTGGTCCTAAAGTAATTGTTTCGTCCATGAATAGGTATTCCAACTAAAATTTAAAATTATTTTTTTATTTGTTTAAGCTTTGAGTGGGTACTTACATCTGGAACGTTAACAGCTTTTATAAAAATTTGTTCAGTTCTATAAAACGGTTTAAAATGTTCATCAAAATAATCTTTTTCAATTCTGCTTCTACTATTAGGGGCTGCCCAAATTTCAACTGGACTCGTAGTAACTTGTAAAGAAAAGAAACCGTAACCCAATCCGATTACAATGTATGGGGTTAAAAGAAGAACCAACATAGCATTATCAGCCATAACTAAAAATAACAATTTAGTTAATTAATTTAAAACGGTGTAAATTATTATTACGAATTCCAAATTTTCTGAAGAGTTTTCCAAGAATTCTATGAACGATGTTAGTTTCTTCTTCATTATCTGTAAAATCCAAATCTTCTCTGTCGAAGGATTCATTACTTGCACTTCCATTTGATCGACGCCGAATAAAAATGTATAAAATTATCGTAGTTATGAAAGATAAAGCAAATATGACTATTGCAACGATAAAAGTGTAACCGTTTAGTTTTAAAATAAGAAATCCTTCTGGATGTGCAGGAAAATCCTCTAAAACACAACTTATTGGACAATCGATACAACTGCAAGCTAAACCACCTTCCTACAAAAAAAATTAAATTAATATATAATTCAAGATCAAATCTAAAAATATTTATTTAAATAATCTAGTTTCAATTTGTTAAATATGGAAAAACTTTAACGTTTAACATTAACAATAACTCGACAATGCAATTATCTTATCTAAACTCCTTAGAATGTTATGACCACTTAACCAACCGTTTACATTAAGTGTTCGTAGGATTGCGACAAAAAAATGAAAATTGTTCCGATATCTAAAATGATAAGCATAAAAAGTATTTGAGTAAAAAAAAATAAAAATTAATTTTTTTTAAAATTATTAACAAGTAAACATTTAATAAATCGTTTTATGAAATAACACGTGTTACTATAATTTCGTTTACATTTTGCGAAAAGTACTTGAAGAAATCTTGATAAGGATTGGGTAACTGTAAATTTATTGATAATGATTGAAGTTTACTATAAATAAATAACCTTCGAAAATAACACCGAGAAAGGAAATGTATGTAATAAAACTAAAATTAGTAATTCAAAAGTTCGGTGAAACTAACAATAAAGCATAAAGAGTTGTTATTGTTATAATAAAAGTAATGGTTTTATTAATTCAAGTTATGACTTTATTATTAATATCATTCATGTTCATTTCCAGGATATTATTAATGGTTGAACCATCGAAATCATTACTTTCGAAATTAATTCCACCAATACAATGCTTCAATAAACTAAACCAGGATTATAAAATATTTGCGCTACAAAATACGTTGGTTAACTAGGTCGTAAATTTACGGAAATTTATAAATAGTATAAATAGATAAAATATAATTTGGACACAGAATGAGACAATACCGGATAACACTACCTTATGTTATATAAGAAATACTAAAACTGAAATAAGGATATTTAAGAAACAGTAATAATAAAGTTAATTACAGTAATAACTAATCTGGATCCAACGAATCAGAGTAGACAACTGAATGAAGTGGATTCTAGATTGGAGTATAAAATATGTAATCCAATCTAAGATCGGGCGGAACGCTAATGTTGATGTAGTAGAGTGCCGATTAACCGCAGTAATCTGGGGGAAATAGAAACCGAAAGTCATTAACAACTTTTCTACTAACAACAAGAAGCAGTTTAAATGGAAGCGAGCATGAATGACAGTCATACGAGGATAAGCAATATAGGGTCTATATTGTATATCCTCGTAAAGGAAATGCTGAAAAACCTCCATGCCAGCACTAGTCCAGAAGATATCAAAAACGAGTTGATAAAAGGGAGTTTTCAGATATGCGACGTAATCAGTAAAATGTGAAGATAATTGTGAGAAAGGATATACAGAGTGCAAAAAATAGTCTTCGGAATAAATTACATCCAGAACTTCAAAGTGAAAATAGAGATAATCCGAAGAAGTAGATAAAAATACCATAGTGCAAGAAGTGCCAGTGTGAAATGCTCAGAAAGCCATTCATCGAAGAATTACACTAGGTCTAGAAATGTACCAGCGAGATGCTCCAAATGTGAGGAGCTTCATTCGGCCAACTATCGAGAGTATTTGGTGATAGAGGAGTTGACAGAAAAGACGGGAAAAAAAATATTAGTATTATAATTTTATCACAAAAAAATGTGTCGAGCAAAACTACATATGACGCTGGCACCAGTCAACAAACTGCTCTAGTGATGAATGAATTTTTATATAGAATACTTTCACAAATGGACAGAAACGACCTTAGAACCGCCATTTTTTGTTTCTAGATGTCAAAGTTGACATCTTCCTGATATTAAAGTCACACTCCATGTGACAAACTCGCCTCAAGTTCCAGAGATACCATGTACACTTACCAGACTATTCATTCAGAAAACAATGTAAATGGAAAGCCGGGTAGTAATCCATAAAAATATTAAAAGCTACAGTTGGTGGAGTTCACACTATAACCACCGCATAACATTAAACAAAAAGAATAGGTATCAGTCCTGAAACATGTTGGTGAAAAGTTTATTCTTGAATGGGATGTCAACATGAAACACGTGTATTAGGGATCTAGATTTACTAAAACAAACATAACGAACTGGAAATAGCTGGGTTGTAAGTGCAATTAAAAACCAAATACTGGCTTAATTTAGAAGTGGAGCGATTCACCATAAACATCCAGATGGAGGCATCAAATAATAATCGAGTGCTATCAAGCAAAATCCGTTGAAGCTAATTTCCCAATCGAAGTAAGAGGTGTCGTCAACAAAACAAAACTGCCCTTAACAACAAATTAAGATTAAAAACCCAATAACTTTAGCGAAAAATCGGAAAATTGAAGAAAGAATCAATTGCAATTTACCTCAAAGAATTAACAGCTGAAAAAAACACTGATTATTTGCTGTGTATCAAAAAATATCATAAATAATTAAAAAAAAACAGTTTGTCAAATCCTGCCCATTGAAAATCGTGACGAAAATCATGACGGGGCGTGGATCAGAGAATATGCAAAAAAAAAAAAGTAGAAGCAGTTGCCAACCATCTTGCAGATATCTTCAGATTACATGTAGGTCAAGCATCAAGCAAGCATCAATACGGACGATGAGATTATCGACTTAGTATCAAGCGAAATTCACACCAACATAAATCCTAAGAAAACTCCTGGGTATGCTCTCAAAAGTAGTTAGACATCAGTTAGACAAATGATTTTGAACCACTAATTTAAATTTTGCAGTCAGGATTCCAAAATTTATCAAGTTCACAGGAATAAGATTACATCGAGAAGATCCCAGAAAACAAACAATTGATGTAGCTGAAGTTTTTGATAAGGTTTGGTACCATTAAGCTGAATGTATCCTTGGAATCCAACCTAATTAAACGATTTTTTAGAGGACGATAGAAAGTGAAATATTCAAACTTCAAAGACACCAGTTTTGAAACCATTCTTGTACCTACTTTAGATATATGACTTGTCCAAATAGGACGACGTAACCATAGCAACATTTGGTGATGATACGACTATACTTGCTATTGAAGCAAGAAGCAACTAGTTAGTTACAGAAAGCTGGTGACATAGACCAACAATAGAAGATAAACTAATTCAGCTGGTCTTCATGCGTAAATTTTACGTATTGTAAATAAGACGAATCTCCTTCCGTGCACATAAATTGTGTTATAGAGTTCTGACAGTTTGTTAAATTAATTAAAAGAATATTTTCAAAAGTTAGATGAATGTAGGGTTGTTGAGTTACATAACAAACTAAAAACATACATACGTATACCTAGAGAAAATACTAAAATCAATAGAAATGACTGTAGAGGCTCCCAAAACAGTCTGTCAGAATTACGTTTTTTTTGCACGATAACAATGCGACTCTGCCAATTTAGGTTATATGTCCGAAAAAAGTAAAAACTTGAAAACATCACTTCAACAAAATACTCAATTTCCTTATCAATCTGAATTCAAGGAGAGTATTAACCCAAGGGTCATATGCAAATATATAGTTGTAGTTTTCAGCCACTATTTGCAACCCAAATTTCAAATGACTAATTAAAGGGGTTGTAGAAATGGTGGGAGGTGTTAGTTCAGAAGAGAGCACCGAGTTGAAGGTTGGACCGTTGGAGCTAAGTAAACGTAGACTTTTGCTTGGCATGAGGTGCCCTAAAAATAAACGTACGGAAGTATTGAAATCTTGTCTTGTGAAATGAGAAATGATTTTAGATGGAACAGTATCCCTATGCATTTAAATGAAGTTGTTAATTAGGTAATCATGTTTTTCTTGTCGTATTGTCGACATCTACTTTAGAATTAATTTTAAAATTTCATTAGTCAACTACAATGTAGGACAATCTTTTTTGTATAGATTTTACATAGAAACACATTGTGGGAGATTATGCAACGTAATCAATGTGCTAAAATGCTTCAAAGTTACTTAAGGAAGATATCTAGACGATATATTATAAACTGTTGTTTTCCGGGACCGCGAAGTTTTAAGCTCGAAACATTCGATTGCATGTTAGCAGTGTACTGTGTATGAACACAAAAAAAAATGTAAGAATTATTACATGAAATGATTATTGAGAAAATACAACACATTATCGAATCTTCATTATCTTCTTACTATTGGTGATGAGGGTAAGTTTATTGCTCGAGATTCTATAAACTTACAAGATATTCATTATTACGTATGATATGAGGAATTGTTTATAATCATTCATGAAGCTCATCTTCTAACTGGTTATGGTGGCAGAACTAGAATACTGAAAGAGGTTAATTAATTGCTGATGCAACTGATATAACTATTAAATCTATCGTGAATTTTTTGTTATGCAAATCTTGCCAAAAGAACCACAGCATGTCTAAAACTAAATTGTAGCGAAATTTTATATTTATAAATTTCGATTTATTATGATATATCAGAACCATCTTATCAAATTTGTAATATCTACGTCCTCTTAGAACAAGATATTCAAAACATGATTACAACTTAGATGGACCAATCAGAGTTTACCACAGATAAAGATTACCATGAAGGCGTTCACCATACGAGGTTGTATTTGAATGTCCAATGAAAATTGGTTTAGTTAATTCAGAACTACTATTCAATATATCCAAGAGCTTGAAAGGTTAAGAAGATCTGATGTTTGACAAAATGCTCACAATGTAAACAGTCGATAATAGCCGATAACATTACCATGAGTCTTCTGTATATTATTAACTTTATCTAAAAAAGAATCGTCAACTTCTACGAAAGCAGACGAAGCCTTTGAAAAAAATAGCTTTGATGTTTTATAATATCACACAGGAACAGGAAGCATCAACCATAGCAGAGTCACTAGGTAAATACAAAATTCTTGCGGAATATCTCAAACAGAGAGAGGCCCAACTGACCTGTCAGTGACACAAAACATACCAACAATTATGAACTACAGAAGAAATACGCGATGAATGGAATCTGGAGATCATCTGCCCTGAAATGTAAAAATTAAAGTGGTATTACATAGTTAAACACAGCATATAAATTATTCTCCAATGACCTATATAAAAGACTACTTCCGTTTACGGAAAAGCTTCTAGGAGAATATCAAAATGTATTCTGACCAGGTACATCAACGACGGACCAAATATCTCCTCTACGCCAGATCTTGCAGAAGGACCTAGAGCACCAAGAAAAGTGCAATGACAAAGAAGAACGTTGTCAGATGCATAAAAATACGAAATAACAACTACAAAACGGATTACGTCAGGGGGGGGGGGCGTGCTGACATGTCTTCTGTTGAACATCCACCTAGAACAGACGTTGAGACATGCACTGTAGGTACCAGAAGTACGATAATAAATAAATCTTCATAACTGCTCGACATTGTTTACGACATTGCTTACGACATTGACATCATATAAGACCTCATATAAGCATTAATAAGCTAAGCCAACAGACATGGTCTACAAATAAATGAACAAAAAACGTCATGCCAGCAACTACCTCGATGCATGTTATTCGTACCCTTGGAGAGAATCTTGCAATCGGTACGGAAAAGACCAGATAGAACGAGACCACAAAGATGGCAGAAACAAGGAAGGCCTAACCTCAGTTGGGAGGACAAAATAACAGAAGACACTGCCAAAGTTGGATTTTGAGTCACATATGATGATGATGATGCATACTGGAATGTGTGAAGGTGATATGGAAGATGACAGAGAAAAGACTTTAATATGAAATAAATTCAAATGAAATTACAATATTTTTGCATGTTATATTTTTGCAAACGCCTGTTTCTATGTAGTACTTACACCAAAAAAAAGACGAAAAAATATATATGGAACGATTTCGTGCTTTACAAAAAATTTGGTCAAAATCACGTGATGTTGGTCTGAACTTTTCATTGAAAAATACAAAGCTATCAGCACTTCAAGATGTGGCTGGTCATCAAATGTCCTAACACTCCTGAGATTATCAGCAAGATGTTTTCTATCATTTGTGTCACTAACAGCAAAGAGAGAAAATCCAATTCGACACTGTTTCCTCTGCTCAAGAATAATGAATGAAAAGAATAAAAGGGTTCGCAAAAGAACAAGATATATAATGTGCTGAATGTGACATTCTTCTTTTTGTCATTTCGTGTTTTAAATATTACACGTTTAAGCACAGTACCGGTACAGTTACCTTTAGTCTTTAGCCTTTATTAGCTGAAATTGGTATCTCTCAAAATGTACGCCTAAAACCTAGGTTTTAAAGGCTTAGTAACATTTATGTTTAAAATTACTTAAGAATTAAAATATAAAATTTAATAAATAATGTCACTAACTAACCTGGTAAGATTCATTACAATTTCTGGCCCTACTAACATATATCTCAGGATTATCCGATGGAATGTAAGTCATATTGAACGGCAAATAAGGATTATCCAGTCCCAAAAAATTAAAAAATCTTTCCGTCGTACAAAATGCGGCCACATAATCACTACATCCAATACTATCCATGACGGGGCCTCCAGTTTGAGGCATCGTAACACTTTTACACGATTCGAAAGTAGTATTCATAAACGTTTCATCAATATAAACGTCAATTGCATCAATGTAGTCTAAAAATAAGATTAATCAGTATAATTACGAAAGTATAAACTAAAAAAAGTTTCAATTTAGTGGCGAAAGCATATTAATATTAAAAGTTACTTACGTCCTTTTCCTCGATTTCCTTCTAGTTCACTCATTTTAGTAATACTAAGAAATTCATCTTGATCTTTTGAACAACTAAACATGCAGATATTCGTGATGATATTTAACATACAACTTGGACATCTTGAAAACACCGATAACATGTCAATGTTTTCCGACATCACCGACACTTGTTCATCATCGCAACAAACACTCGGATTATCCGAATCTTCAAACATAAATGGACAATTTGATTTTAACAATGTCCTTGCTTCGTCCGACAATAAAGGAACCGGGTCCATGCCAGTTGAATTACAATTTTGATAAGTTTTATTTTCTTTTTTATAGTTACATATACCATACATCATACATGTTGCGGTTACGTACGATATTAATGTTAATAACGTGAAGTAATTTAAAATATAATGTTGTTTTACTAAATGAAAAGAAATGAAAATTTGTGATTGGAAATTAATTAAATTTCAAATATTTACCCATAATGTTATTTTTTGTATTAAATTTTTATTGTAAATCACTCAGAGCACATCCACACTAAACGACGATTTCAGTTGCAATATTTGATTGTTATAAAATTTGTTATAATGAATAGACGATTATCAACAACTGATAAAATTAATTGTGGCGCTCGTAAACAATATTTAAGTTGACAAAACGAAAATGATTGAGATAGGATTGAATTGCGTACGAGGATTTAAAAAAAAATCAGATAGAAATAAATTTTCAAGATTGTTGTAACGCATTTATTAAAAAAAAATGGAATTCCCACAAAATATCTAATTAAAGAGTTATATTAAAACAATATTTATCAAAAATGATACATTGTAATAATTTGTTAAAGATAAATATTATAGTAAATGAGTATTTTGAGTTGAGTCTTATCTGTTTCGACTGCAGGTGTTTAATTTTAATTTATCAGGTGTTCAAGTAAGTTTTCCAATCGATCGATATTCAAGTTAAAATAAAAATGATAAAAATAGATAAGTAGAAAAAGTTTTAAATTAAACAGCATTTATGAATTAAATTAAAGTAATAGTTTTTTTTAACACGTTTTTCTATTTTTTTATCAAAATTAAAATTTATTGTGAAGATCATTCATTCATGAAGGAATTCGCTTAAATATATATTTAAACAAATTTAAAACATAATTCCAGAATTCAAAGAAAAGTCTTATTCAATTACGCAGTAATATAATGTTATCTAGAAATCTTCGTTTCTGTTACTACGACTTTTGGAATTACAAATTGAGTTTTTAAGTGATCTCAAGTTTGTGCTAGAAAGAAATAATGATTAGATTTGTGTCAGCGATTTTGAGAACGGATGATTAATAAGCAGCTTTTTGTAGAATTTTTCCTTAAAATTCCTTAAAAACTTCGTTTACAGTAAAAAAGGTCTCAAACAAGGTGTAGTGACAACAATGTTTACAATTTAGAAAGCGCATCAATGAAATTTACAACAAAATTTATTGATCACGAGTCCCACTGCGTTGATGTTAGTGGATTCAAGTTTCTGCGTATTGAGTTTAACTTGGGTTTGAGTCGGTTTGGTGTCACGGGAATTTATAAATCACCTTCATTTAACCCTAATACCTTTATTGACAACTTAAATTTATACATTAAATCCTTCTGCACTAGAGAGCATGAAGTTTTAACTGGAGATATCAATATTGACATCCATCCGGATATGCAGTTAAATCAAATACCTGCTCTTTATTTGGATGTAACGGCCGCTGCTGGCTTTGAGCCCTATATCCGTGATTATACTAGAATTTTTAATAATAGTAAAAGTTGTTTGGATCACATCTTTGTTAAAACCTCTCTCCCACGGGAAAATTTTCTATCAATAATATCGCATTCAAAAATTACTGACCACTGTCCTGTGTTTTTACAGCTGAATTTCCCTGATAGTTGTGATAGTAATCAGAGTATTGAAACTAATAGGTNTTTTTTTTTCTCGAAAGCCGCGTGCAAACTGATTTTTTTCAGTTTTTGCGGTTACCCCCATGCGCCAGCTGCTTGGTACTGATCATAATAGAAATTAGTTATATGGCGTGTTACGGGAGTTTTTGTTTTTGTTTACCTTATATACATAGTGTTTACTATTAATTTCTCTATAATTTCTTTCTGTAAACTGGATACAAAGACAAATATATAAATAAAAATAAAAAATCAATGGATACATCAACCCTCTACACCTTGGCACTTCCTGACAATCAAGTTGTGATTGCACGTGATATTGATGATATTGATGATGCTGAATATATGATAGGAAAACTAATTTAAGAGTATAATAAATGGAGCTTAGTGGTTAACTTATTAAAACTGAAAACATCTGTCTATATCAGACATATTATACTTAACGGACGAAATTGAAGTCCTACAAATAATAAATAATTTAAATAACACAACGGCAATGGGTGAAGGTGAAGTATCTACGAGCGTGCTAAAGCATTCTGCAAGGTACTTGGTTAAACCGCTAACGCATTTAATAAACACATCCTTCACTGACGGGGGTTTTCCGGATGAGTTGAAAAAGACGGTAATAATCCCAGTCTATGAAAAAAGAGACAAGTCCTGCTATGATAACTACCGTCCAATAGCATTCATATCCAATCTTGCAAAAATGTATGAGAAGCTTGTACACAACAGAATTATAAATTATTTAAACAAATATAATATATTGCACGAGAATCAAAATGGTTTTCGGAAGGGAAGATCGTAAGTTTGGTTACGATGTTTCAACTGTTGGAAAATATTGTCTTGGGATTAAATGGAAAACAGGCCACAACAGCATTGTTCATGGATCTTACAAAAGCCTTTGATAGTGTACATCATTCAATCCTTTTGACCAAGTTGGAGAGACTTGGCTTTAGAGGTGTTAGCTTGTCATGGATGAAATCCAATCTATCAGGGAGGTTACAATGTGTAGTTGCCCACATTGAAGATACAATCTTCATATTACAGAAGAGGTGTGTAAGAACAATCTTTGGTCTAAAAAATACTAATAGCTGTAGAAGTTACTTTAAACACTATAAAATACCTACCTTGCATGGAATTTTTATTCTGGAATGTGCCGTATTGGTTAAGAAGAATTACTTTGAATTTATCAAAAAATATGAAATATCACAACCTCGAGACACACGCGGGAAGGTGAACTGCTATCTGGTGCCATCAAAAACGCACCTTACTAAGATTCCGATGACTGCTCTATACCAGACTATCAAGATCGACAATCACATTTCGGAGATTCCGGAGAAGACTGAGAACTATTGTCACGGAAAATCCGTTGTGTACCATTGACATGTTTTTAAAACTTAATGTTTGAATTCAATTTGTATTATATTACAATGTAATTATTGTTAAATTGACGCACTCTACACTTTTTGGTAAAATGGAGGAATAAAGTATTATTATTATTATAAGCAAAATATACTTACAGAAAAAATAATAAACGCCAAAGAAATGGATTGCTGAAGAAGAGCTGCTGGAAAATCAAGACTGGAAACGATTAAACGAAGACATACGGAATATAATGAATAATGAAAGTAAACAATGACATTGTATTAATAGGATAAAAAAGAATAAGTCCACGATGATTATTTATTATTTTTTTCTAAATTCGGTACAACAATGTTTCGCTTTTTCTAAAAGCGTCTTCAGGTACGACTAGAATAATGGAAGATAATTATTACTAGTTGACGGGTTTTTTGTTGGTGATATAAAATTAAAATTATAAAAAGTTCTTACCGTCAAAAACTAAGAATGATGAACACGTGAAAAAATGATCATGTGGAAAAATTTCTCTTACAAAAAACTACGACGGACCGATGATTAAAAATATAATTTTGGATTAAAGATTTAAGTGAAATTTTTGAAAACGGCGTGGGTTTACCATGTCAGGTTAAAAACTCCAACGTCGGGTGATAGGTTAAAAAATTTTTGAAATGCTGAAGGCAGGCGTAAAAAATGTAATAGCTGAAGGCGTGTTATAAAAAAGGGGAATTTATCGTTGTGTGGGTTCAAAACGTATAGATAGACAAAAATATATACCAGGAAAACCATTCACATTAGTAGGTAAATTATTAGTGCATATTAATATATTGATAGATACGTAAAAATATTGTCTCTTGATATTTCCCAATTCGCTACTATTGCTCTCATAAGCATGGATCGAAGAAATCGATAAGCATGGAAGATTGGTACTTTCACCAATCTAATATTGTAAAAAGAGCTAATTAACTTAAATTTTATCTCAAGAACCTAGGGTGATTTTTCAAAACGAGTTTGCTCATTGCAAACTTCATACGTCCATTAATAGTTGGTAGTAATAATTTTATAATAATTTTCCAAAAACTCGATTTCTCAAAACTTTTCAATAGTAATCCAAAAGATTGTAAAAATTACTAATACACTTAAAAGATATGCTATATCTTAAAAAAGAAGAGTGATCTTTCATAACGGACTTGTTCATTGTAAACTATATGCTTCCATTAAGAATTCGTGATAATATCATTTCAATTTTCCGCGAAATTAATTTTTCACGAATTTTTAAAGTCAATCATAAAATTTGTAAAAATATCGAATTAACTTGAATAAATTTTAATACATGAACCAAAATTGACTTTTCAAAACGGGGTCGTCTATTAAAAATTACATGGTTTCATTAATAATTGGTGATAATGTAATAATTTTCCAAGAAACCGATTTCTCAGAAATTTTTAATATTAATCGAAAAAATTGTAAAAATTGCTAATTAAATTCAAAAACCTATACCTCAAAAACTAATTATGATTTTTCAAAACGGACTTGGTCGTTGCAAATTACATACTTTCATTAATAATTGGTGATAATTCTACAACAATATTCCAAGCAATTAATTTCTCACAAATTTTAAAGTTAATATACAAATATTTAAAAATAAATTGAATACATTTTGTCATAAACCAAGAATGTCTTTTCAAAATGGAGTTGTCTATTGAGAAGTATACGTCTTTATTAATAAATAATTGGTGATAATTTAATATCAATTTTCAAAGAAATGGATTTTTCAGAAATTTTTAATAATAATCCAAAAAATTGCTAATTAACTTAAAAAATGTATATCTCAACATGGGCTTGTTCATTGTAAACTATATGCTTTCATTAATAATTGGTAATAATAAATCTTTAAGCTTATCCAAAGAAAAATCTATATCGCTAATTTTGTAGCTTTTGTTAATAATTGGTGAAGATTTAATTATTCA